TTTAAAACGTTAAACGTAACGAACCGACCGACGACCCCACCCCACTACCTACCTTACTTACGTACTACTAACCAAACCCAACCACAAGTAACTACTCTCTCTCTCTCTCTCTCTCTCTAGACACGAGAGTGCTTCTCAGAAATCACAGGCCAGCAGTGGGGTGCTCCCTTTTCTATTTTCTATTTCTGGCACTATCTCTGCAAATAAAACCTTGAGCTTGTTTCTCAGATCTGAGAGAAGCCCATTCATCAGAAACCAGAAGAAAAAGAGATGGGTCACCCTTACTTACAATCAGCTCTACTGATTTTGTCAGCTTTGGCTCTCTGCTTCTCTCAAGGTAGAGCACCAACTTCTTTCCACTTCATGCATTTTATGGCACCTGGATTTCCTTTCTCTTTTCGCCACAAATTTATTGAGTCCATTTTTATTCTTTTTCTCTGTAATTCAAAGGATCTGGCAGAGTCATGATGCTCGATTCGGTTCCCAAATACGATGTTCAGGTATGTTTTGACAGTCTTAATACGTCATCCGCTTCTCTGTTTTCACAAGCAATCATGGGTATATGGGCTCTTAAACCCTTGTACTAGCTGTTCTTACATGCTTAACTTCAGAGTTCTGATTCAATGGATAGTTTTTCTTGCACTTTGCATGCTTAGCTTTAGAGTTCTGACGCAGTAACTAAAGCCATATTTCTCGTTGATCCTTATTCCCCACCATGGTATTTGATTTATTGATTAGTTCTGTTGTTTTCTTTAGTAAATTTTGAATGACCACTTAATTCTGAAGCTAATTCATTTGTTTTGTTTAGTAGAACTTGAATTGTCATTTGATTTGCTTGACCTACTTTTATTAAGTAAACTTTAAATGGGCATTTGATTCATTGATTCATTCAATTGTTTTGCTTTCTAAATTTGAAGGTAAACTACATGCATGAGATCAGAGCCCTATCTGGTGAAGTTTCTTCAAGAGGAAGGGAGACGGCAGAGTTCTTAATGGATTACAATGATCCAGGGGCAAACACCAACCCAAGAAGTGGAGCCCTATTCGCACCTCCACCACCTCTCCATTAATGAATATGTAAACTAAAGTTGATTTGTCTCTCATCTATACTTCCCCTTCACATACTGATAATAAAAATGTCACTAGAGATTACATTGTTCCTGTAAAAATTACTCTTATGAACTAAAGTTGATTTGTCTCTCATCTATACTTCCCCTTCACATACTGATAATAAAAATGTCACTAGAGATTACATTGTTCCTATAAAAATTACTCTTATGAGGTTTCTCTGCTGAATTTGCTTGTGCTTTTGGTTTATATATTTTCAATGAATGATTGCTTTGACACATAGACATGTCATCTTTGGTCTAACAAAGTGACCATTCATTTGTACATGGTAAGACAATGTTTGAAGTCTCTTTACCTACCAAACAAAATTAAAAAATATTTGAAGTTGGTTTCTATCATAACCTGCTACCAACCAAGAAACAAAAAGCCAAAGAAGAAGGAAAAGACTTTGGAAGTCAATAGCGGCTACCACCTACAATCTGCTTAAATCCCAACTGCCCATTACTTGGCAGGTCCCACCTCTCAGATTTCCCTATTTTGGGGAGTGTGTGGCATCGATTTCTCAATGTTTTGTAGTTCAATTGCTTTTGAGAAGCTTGGAATTCTATACCGTTCATTGACCTAATGCAGTTAGTCATAAATCCTTTGGTAAAATGTGAAATAAGCCAAAATAAGTTGCAAGTTCAGTCATCATAGAAGGATAATATCACTAATGCGCATCTTCTCTTAAAAAAAAAATTTACTAATGTGCATCACAGAGTGATTTCAAAATTTTCATATTAGTCACCAAAAAATATCAAGCTTTCCAAATTCAATGAGGCTACTCCGGATTTTTTTCAAACCTACAGATATTACAACCTCCAGAGTCCCGGCCGCACCAGACTCTCCTTTTTTTCAAACTTACTGGATATTACAACCTCCAGAGTCTTGGCCACGCCGGACATTCCCATAAGAAGACAGTTCAATAACATCCATGTCGCGCCCTGCATTTGGTTAATCCTCGATGATGATGGTGGTCATGATAATGATGATGATGATGGCAATGACAATAATGGTCATGGTCACATTCATGATTTATGCAAACACGATGTGGATTAGATAATCTGTACTAAAAAATTGAGATACCTGAAACCCGACAATAAGCGCTCTTTTGAATGAGATCTGATCGAGATATCTCAGTGCGGTTCCCCTTTGCTCGATTCACAGATGCCTACATAGGATAGCGCGAAAGTTCATCAAGCACAAAATGACCCATTTAAATGGCAACTTTGTATTCATTTTTATTAAGAGAGAGATAGAGAAGGAAAGAGAGAGTGGTCTCAATGCCATATTGCCAGAGCCCACCGACACACTTCACAAATTTATTTCCAGGACTATGAGAAGACTAGATCAGTATCGACATGACAGCTAAACCTCAATGATAACTTCCCAACTCTTCCTATAGTTGCACCTTAATAAGTGGTTGGAGATGTAGAATCCAGGAAGCATCCAAGAACTTGATTCAAAGACAGTGTAAATGTCATTTCGAAATGCGCACATGCGCATGAATAAAATGTGACATCAACCAAAATCCCCACGAGTATTATATAATCCAAATATAATGGCAGACATATTTCATTAAGGTAATTACCATTCAATGAAACAATGTCGGTGAGTCATACCATTAGAGCAGGACACACAACCAATGATATCTCAGCCTTTCTCCATCGCCATCCATCATTTCATTGGAATAGTGATGACTGTAATGGAATATGGTTCCTCTGATGATAGCACACCTTTCCTAGATATAAAATCACTGGAGAGCAGGACCAGTAATAACCCCAGACTATACAATGAAAGCAAAGAACACGCCTTAGCTAACAACCAAACCTCATCTCCCAATCAAAATGAATCGAACCGTCTGACTTGACTTCATACTGTCTAGCTTTGCACCAGGTATATGTGATCTGTTTCTTTTAATGATCTTGTAACTTTTGAGACTGAGCTTGGGAATAGGACAATTAAGTTTAGAACCATGATGCCTAATCTCATAGAGTTCTATCAATACTTTGGTATGTGTGAAACATGATCTACATACAAAATAAAATCGAAGTCATGATCTGAGGTCAAAATGACTGACAGTGCTCTCATGACCTGATGTACTTGTGTACCCCTATTAAGATATATACAATGATTAGTGGAAGGTGATTGTCCTAATGTCCAGTAGATGGTTCGATACATTATTTTTAAAAACTCAATAGATTGTTTAACCCGAGTCAACTTACTTACGCAACTCACCAAGTTATGATATAAAACTTAAGATCTGATAATGCCTTATATCTTAAGGACTCAGTCTCACAAAGTTAACCTAAGAAGGGACCAAGCCAATTCAAGCCGTCTCTGCATTTCAATACTCGGTGAGAATGGAACTCTAGACTCACATTGTGGCAACCACCACCCGGACCACCTCTGCCTAGAGCTTGTTCTTATAAGATTTTTCCAAAACCAACGATTGGATTTAAAACCTGTTTAGTAGACAATAGTAAATAGTCATAGAGGAATTAGAATGTCTTTAGTGAAATTTACACCAAGTTGAGGATAAAAAATAGAACTCAGCAATGCATAGGCAGAAGGAGAGAGAAATTAGGTGTAAGGCATATACATAAATGTAAGTTATCATCTAGAATCTCGAAATTCTAACTCCGATAGGAGATGATGACATAAATGTCTGAACCTTCAAACCAGTCTCTCTGGAAGAAACCAACTTTTGGTTTATCAAAAATTAAATAAACAACTAAAAAATAAATTTTTGATATTCTAGGGAAACCAGATCCAAGCCAAAACCTCATGCGAACCCCTTTGGTTACCTAAGCTAGGCGTTCAATCTGCTGAATCCCTAAGATACAAGTAACTTCCAAAGTAGATATAAGAACCCCCCCACCCCCCTCCAACAAGTAATGAAATTATGTGGCCTGAACCCAGAATCAAAACACGGGAAATAAACCGTGGAAACACCCATCTAAAACTTGTTGCCCAATTGATTCAAAACATGTCCTTGAAGTCCAATATAATTGGATACACAAGAGAGTTGTTCAGTAAGGAATGAACAATCAACTCATTTAAAAATGCAAAGAACAGAAGTACGCCATCCATAAGTTGGCAATATGCCATGTGTCGACATAGTTAAATTGCCAATTCTAGGACCCCGGACTAGATTTTGAAAACCAGCCCGGAGGATGCAAGGACGAGTCTCGAAGAAAAAAGACAGTGTATTTTTGCTTTGTTTTTCCTAAAATTTAAAGTAGAGAAGGTCTGACAAAAGATCTTTTATTGGGGTAAATACTAGCAAAAGAATTTCATTAGAAGAGATTTGAAAAGAGAGAAAGAGATAAAAGGATTTGGGAAGAAAATAAGAATAATTACTGTGGAGAGCTTGAGATGCATTTCAGCAAAACAGACTTGAATCCACAGGTGGGATTCATAACCAATTAGGACATCTCTAGCTACAGGAATCTAAGACCATATGTAGGCTTCTCCAGGGATATATTTCCATTGGTTTATCAGTTCTCCAAATGACAACCTTGGAGAAGAAATCCCAGCTATAATAACCCCCCAACAATTCTCATAAACAGGTGATTTTCGTGGGTTGTCATGCATTACAGAGGAGAGAAGGAACAGTAACCGAATATATACAAATACCTACATTTCTTGATAGTGTATCAGAATATGCAAGTATATTTGGACAAGGAAAATTTGTCTGTGAGTCAGCAGCTGACTCACCAACGTGTGCCCGTTGACTCACCAACGTCCATCTTTAAGATGGACATTAAAAAAAAGCCCGCCAGGCTAAAATAAATATAGATGTTGTACAAATAAAAAAGAACCATATTTAACACGTTGAAAATTTTATTTTTTCTTCATATTCCTGATTATCTTAACCTATATATGAATTCCTAAAATTTTGGATTAAGAATGCATCTTTAAAATAGATTTGATAGGGGGGCCCGCATGTGTAAAATATGAGTCGGCTAACTCATAAAAACCCCATCCTTCGCAAAAAGGGATAAAAAATTATGATAGTCAAGACACAAACATTAAAGTTTATATCAGAAGACATCATCAGCATATAAATAAAGGAAATATCAGTTCATTCTTAGTTATTTTTATTTTTTCCATATGAAGGCATTGCAGCTCGACTTGGTGTGCAAACACATCCCTAATTTCCTAAATACTCGTGATTTTTTAACTTAACAAGTTAGATGATTTGTCTTTCAAGATTATGGTTCTTTGCCAACTTTACTTGGCCAGCTAAGTTTCATCCTCATTAAATTAATGGAAATACGCAATTACCTTGGTCAAACATTTAGACTACGATCAAATTAAAACAAATAAAAATCTGTGCAGCTTGTTTCATAGGTTGGTTATATGCCTTCTGTTTTCAGGTCTAGATTAAGTCCAAAGGGACAATTTGAACACTAGAGACTTTGATCATTGGGAGAAGCTACAACATCGATCTTTGAAATGGAATTTTCTTTATTTTTAATGGGGTAAACATAAACCTCTTATATTATGTGTCTCATGGGTGCCAATAAAAAAAAATTTCCCATATACTCCTTTGAAAATCTCAAATTGAGTTGTCACTTTAAGAAAAGTCATCATCATCAAAGATTCCGTTCAGTTCATCAGTAAAAGTCCTAATCAACATAATTTATAAGTTAACAAAGGCACTTAAAATCTAAAACATGCATTCCTACATCTTAGTTCAACAAATAATTTGAACTTTGAAACAATAGAGTTTAGGAAAAGCAATGCAGAGAACTCACTCAAAATCAAGCATTCAAAGACTAATATTGATCAAATACATGTGCCTTTTGATGTCTTGATCACGATGAGTAGTGATCTCAATGCAATAGACCATCTTATTAATCAATACATAAAACTCTTTGGATCTTGAAAAGCTAAAAAACTTTCTTGAAATCGAAATTTTCAATTTTCAGAGAATCATATCATCCCAATGTAACTGAAGAGAGCATCTTTTTTGGGATCAAACTCCATTGAAACTGTCATGAAGAACAAATTCATAGGCTCATTAAACAAATTAGATGCCGTATATGATTCCATTCATACCCATTAAGAAAACCCACATTACCAGGCGAGAGTTTCAACATAATTGATGCATTGGGCAAAGAAACCCACATTGTAAAGCAGCAAAAATCTTTTTTTTTTTTTTGCAAACTTGAATAAGCTAAAAAACGAACAAATAAAAATAGAGAGAGAAACAATAGTAACCAAAACACAAACCTGTAACACTTGACAATTCTCCAAAGCACTCTTACCACCCTGCAACAACAATTTTTGCAATGAAAAAAATAAAGACAAAACCGAAGTAAAAAAGAAGAGAGAAAGAAAAAGGACCCTTTAATTTCCAAAATGTACCATATGAGAGAGTATTAATTAGAAAGTGCGTGTGTGTGTTTAAAGTGAGCCAACGAGAGAGAGAGAGAGAGAGAGAGAGAGAGAGAGAGAGAGAGAGAGAGAGAGTAGTACTACTACAC